AAACTATATAGGTAGGTACACTATTGTTAACTTAATTAGGGTACTCCTAAGGCTTAGAAAGAGCCACACTCAAGGGGCCAAAGAGCCGCATGTGGCTCGTGAGCCGCTGTTTGCCGACCACGGGTCTAGGTGTCTAATAGGCTAAACCAGTGGTCGGCAAACTGCAGCCCCTTGAGTGTGGCTCTTCCACAAAATACCACGTGCGGGCGCGTATGTACAGTGTGATTGAAACTTTGTGGCCACACTCAAGGGGCCAAAGAGTCACATGTGGCTCACAAGCCACAGTTTGCCGACCACTGGGCTAAACCATCTAGGTTTGTGTGAATGCACTCCATGATGTTCACACAATGATAAAATTGCCTATCAAAGCATTTCTCAAACTTATCCAATCTTTAGGTGGCAGATGACTCTAAATGGACATTAAAATAAGTTTATAGTCATCACTTGTTATTAGTACCTCTCGAGTGTCATAGTAACATTATATTGTTATTAAAATAAATTGTCCTTAAAATATAGCAGAAAATCTGATGTCCAATAAATATAAAAGGGAGAGAGGCTCTCAAGATCTTTCTGAACATCAAGCTTTCAAATCTGGGCGAAACAATCTTATGGACAGTTAATTGCTGCTGCTATTCATTCATCTCTCTACAGAATCCTCGCTGTGGGCCACAAAGACCAGGTGTGCATAAGGTGATGCCACATATGATGATGTCCTGCTAACATTGCTGCTGCTCTCTTACTCAGTTTCTCAAAGACAGTCACCTGGGTACAATCAGGAAATGGGTCCCAATTTCATGGCCTCCAGCTCTAACTCTATCCAGCACAATAACTGGATCCCCGGCTCTTCACTCTGCCTTCAATATTAAGAATGTTTGAGGAATGAGTCCATGTACTTCCTTATCTCCCTTCCTTGGAGGCTCCTGGGTGATGCCTCTCTTCCTGGAGGTAATTGCCGCTGTTGTCATCATGTCTACAGCACCACCCACATTGGTGACATTTCTTCATTCTACCCTGATGCTTATCACATAGTATTTTATTACTTGACTTGGAGAAAGAAGGTTGGGGATAACTAGGGAGAAATAAACTCTGCTGATATGAGGTACAAAACAAAGCAGCCTTATACTCCAGCCATCTTTCATTTACCTGGATCCTCCCTTCAGTCCCTCACCCTCCCCATATCCTCCACCCAAGGGGAAATAAAATGTGAATGACACATCACTGTGAAACTCTAAGCATCACATAACCACACTCACCTCCAGGCAATGTCCCTGCACCAAACACATGCCTGGATTCTGATTCTCTTTGAGGTCTGTCCTTCACCTCCCTCCCCTCCTTGAGCACACAGAATGGGAGGTAAGGCAGAACAGGGTAATAGATATGAGGGCCAGAGACTGCCCCACCACAGTCTCATTAAGTCAGTAAGTTTCCTCTGAGGCTTTTAGGTTGTCTTCAATCAGGTAAAATCCAGGGCATTCGCCCTGCCAACCAGACATGCCTAAATAGCAAGCTATTTAGGTGCTTACTCTGGGAACTTCACAAGATTCCAAAGAAAATGAGCCATAAACACTTTCAAAATATAATGTAGCCTCTAATAGGGGCACAAGCTGCATTAAACTCCTCAGAAATTTGGAGGGGCCCATGATCAAATAATGAAGACAAAATTTCCAGAAAAGAAAACAAAAGCTGTAGAGGTATTCATATAAGCATGTATGGTTATAGGTAATAAAATAGATGACCAAATTGCTGAGACTTTCAAGTGATGAAAAATTATTTCAGTGATATTTAGGCTGTCCACTCAAGCCCTAGAATTATAGGATAGGTCATTTGCTGGAAGCTATCCATTGTCTACACTACCCAGAAAGTGCAAACAAGGAACCCAGAAAGCTGGCTGACCTTGAGCTTTGACAAGAGATAAGGATATGCACCAATTGTTCTGTCGAGACAATGGTGGCTCAAGCAATTTCCTGACCTAATAGTCTCAAAGTGAATCTTTACTAATATTTACTGACCTTTAAGATAGTCTGTCTGCTACTGGAATTGCCTGCCTGACCAAGGGCAAGATGTGTATCTAAAATTGAATAAAAAGCTAGCAGGGCCTGGGAACCAGTGAAGCTTTTCCTCTTGAGAAAGACTCTCCGCCTGGCCCCCTGTAATTTCCAAATTCAAATTCATATTTTTTGTCTAGTCTCTTCATTTGTGCGTAGCTCTGTTCCAGGTCCTGAACCCTAGCCGTACAGGTCAGCTTTCACAGTCCTTGGAGATGAGAAGTGAGGATGAGGAGGCAAGCACCACAGTTAAGAAAGGCCATGGCCATGCATTTAGTCTGTGTGTCAGGCCTTCTGCAGGCCTTCTCACTTCGCTATTGCTTCTATGATGGATTTCAGTGACTTACCTCAAAGATGGTATTTCTCCAGCATGCTAGAGTTATCTTCCTGAGGTACAAAGGTGAATCAGTTTACTCCCCTTCTCAAAAACCTACAATGGCCCTGAAATACAAAGTCCAATCTCCTTATATACTTCAGTCATAAACTGTCGTACCACACTTGCAATAATACTGCATAACAGGTAATGGGATGCCACTGGCACAGTGATCAAGAGATTTGTAGTCACATCTCTTCCACTAACTAGCTATGGAATCTTGGGCAGAACTTTGTAGCCTAAAAGTTTGTGTCTTTGTAAAATGTGAATGGGAATAGTATCTAAGTCACTGGGCTCTTGTGAAGATTCAATGAGAGTAAATGAGTTATACTTCTCACTATTTCACATGCTGTTTTTCACATCTCCCACTCACTGTCATAGCTTTGCTTATGTTATCTCAGCTACACAACTCCAGGACCCTGCACTCATCTTCCAGATGAGTTTTCCAGACCTGACTTGAAAGCCATCTCTTCTAATAATGCATTCTTGGCCCTCCCTCCATCAAACTGTATATCTCTTCATTGTCCTCCACATATACCTCTATTATTCCTTCATTGAGATTCCCATTACAATTTGTAATTCACAAATTTGACTCTCTTTTCTGGACTACATATTATCTAAGGTTCATCATATACCAACTTTTATTTAACCTTTCTTCTATTTCTAGCACCTATCAGAATTATTTTAAAGTAATAAGCACTCTGTTTGTAATTATTACTTAAAATTGACTTGCTTTAAAATTTCAATCCTCCTATTAATTTAGTCTCCTCTCCCTTTGATAAATTCATAATACAGTATGTAATAAAATATTAACTATTCAAATTCTAAATATTGAATTTTATTTTATAATTATTTATTCCCTAAGTATCTGTGGCATAGTATAAAAATCCCACTGGTAATTTAGTTTCTACTACATTTTATGACAGAAAAAAATTAATCTCTAATACTTAGAGATTCTTAGTTAGAATTTTTAATGCAAAATTTTTAAATTATAAAAGTGATATAAAATATTATAAAACCTAGGAAAATAGAGAAAAAAGAAATGCAAAGTCCATCCTATCAAACATGAGCCTGCTTTCTAAGGACTTACTCCTCAAAGTGTGGTCTGAACCAGCAGTAGCAGCAGCATCTAACAAGGCCAGAAGCTTGCTAGAATGCAGAGTCTCAGGCCCATCTCAAACCAACTCAATCAGAATTGATTTGCACTTAAGATGTGAATAGCACTGATCTGAGGTACTCCCTAGAACCCAGCAGAGCATGTTTACCAAGCATCTCCCTCCTTCTAACAAATATTTATGGGGCACCTGCTATCTGCCATGTACTGTACTAAAGTCTGTTTCCATCTATAAGATTCCTTCTAGGACTGACACAAGAATATAGGAAGAACGTGTCATCTTCTTTTGAGCTGCTTTCTTGGGCAAATAAACTCATTTTGATTGAAATAGCTGCCAGAGGTACAGAACATCTACATTCTGAAGTGGTTCTACTCCTCATTTTCAAGTTCGCATACAGTGATGTTTCTAAGTCTAGAGTTTAATGCTTTTTGTAATATGTTCACTCCTTCCATCAAAAGCTGAAAAGTAAGAGGGCAGGGGGAAGCCCTGACATGAACATTCCACAGTAGAGCTTAAAGAACACATTTTGTTTGCCTTGGACAGCTTCCATGAAGTTTTGTGTTAGGGAATTTAAGTTCAAGGGAAGCCCAGAAAGTTTCAAAGGTAAATCTTGGGATATTCCTTCAGAGTAATTTTCCATGGGGGAAAAAAATTTGGTAGATTCAGACAACTGGGTGACATATCCCCAAATATCCTGTGATATACTTGAAAGAAAGTGTGCTCTGGAGAAGTGACCTTTAAGCATCAGAAGATACATTATGCATAGTGTACACTTTTTATTAACTAAGGGATACTCCTCTAGAAAAGAAAAGAAAAACCTGTTAGTAATATTATGCAGCTCAAAAGGCTGAAAAGCAGTCTTACATGAATGTTAGAAATAGCCTGGAAAATGACATTTTAATAAGGATGTCCAAAGGAACATGTGCAGTTTCTCCTATGGAAAGGTGGTGGGGGCCTGCTGATGGAGTTATCTTGGAGAGGAGGTGGGCCACTTGGTGATTAAAGGTCAGCTGACCCATGGATCCCTATATGGATCTTCAATCTCCTAAGTCACCATGGAGCAGCCCGGCCTGAAGCCTTTCAGGACCCCCCCCCCCCCCAACACACACACACCACCACCAAGGCGAGGGTTTTTCCTGGTCTGCCAATTTGCCAACACGTTCCCATGATTATCGATGTGCAGAGTTCTCATATCTTTAGAGATCCTATAGTTTACCTCCATGAAAGACCTACTTGAGGTCAGACTGATCCCAGCCTGCAAGTTTTCCTGCCTGTAGAACCTGCAGCCGCGCCTGTCTGCGCCGGGGAAGGCAGGAGTAACCGAGGGAGGAGACTGGGGCGGCGGAGGGGTGGGAGTCGCTCGAAGGGGCAGCCGGGGAGGGCGCGGGCCAATCGGAGCGCGCTCCGCCGGCGGCCAATCACCGGCCGCCTCGCCCGGCAAATCTGCCCCGCAGTGCGGGGCGGGGCTGCCGCGAGTCCGGGCGCCGCGTTACACTTCTGAGCGGCTTCGGGAAGCACAGGGCAGGGGAGTGTGTGCCCAGAGCGGGGGACAGGAGGCCGGCCCAGCTCCTGTGCCAGCCCAGGGACATACCTAGAAGCTTAGATCAGGGTGATGATGGTGTGTTCTGGCGCTCACGTGTGGACAGACACACCGGCGGGTCTATGTGCTGTGGAGGCACCTGTCTTGTGAGTGGCTCCGGGCGTGGCTGCCCTTCGGACGTTCAGTTCCTGAAGATTTACCTCTAGGGGCCTACCTTCCCCGAGCTCCGGAGGGGAACCTGAGAAGTTTAACAAAGCCGGGACTGAGCAGATTAAGAGGGGAACAGCGGCTGGGCCGGAGAGGGTGGGACTGCGGGTGCCAGGGGGCGGGGGAAGGAAACCACCTATTTGCCCCGTCGTCCGGCCCTAGGGCCTTTTGGCAAGACTGGCATGACCAAAGTGGCCCTGAAATGTCTAGAAAGCCCAGACAATGATGATCACTGAGTGAGTGGCACTGGACTGAGCCTGGGCGGCTTGTTGACTGACGGAGAGGGATGCTAGGGAGGAAACTCAGGATGGGGACCATCTGTTCTCCCATCCCCAGCGGGACAAAGACCTCATCGGACGTCTGCAATGCCGACTGGATGGCCTCGCTGCCCCCTCACCTCCACAACGTCCCCCTTTCCAATCTGGCAATCCCAGGTACTCTTCTGTTCCTACTTGTTCCCACTGTGTTTGCTTCTGCCATTATAGTGCTATTAATGGGTTGGGTGGCTTTTCTATTGTGCTGAGAAAATAATTGTCAGTGACCTTAACTAAACCTCTGTTTATTTCCAAACCAAAAACTTAACACCGAGGCAACTGCTATAAAGAGATTTAAGTACATTGCATGGTTTGCAAAAGGGACTGGGGAGAATGGAAGCACCCTGTTTTTTGTTGGTTGGTTTGTTTTGTGGGGGATTTAAAATTGTGTCTTTTTGTATTTTTGTTTGTTTGTTTTTACTTGAAAGCCTTATCATAAGACTATTACCTTCTTATTACTGGGGCCAGGATATGTGAAGGGTGCATATTTACTCGAATCACAGAAAAAGGGTAAGGAATAAAAAAAAATCATTAACAATTTTAGATCTAGATCAAAATTATAACTGAAAAGTATTTCCTTTTTAACTTCTCTGACCTTGCATATTAAGGGGGGTGGGCGGGGGACACAAATTATCATTAAAGAATAGGTTCAGAACCAGGACTGAGAATAAGGACACATATTTTTGTTGTGGGAAAAGCCAGAAATAGAGAATTCAAGTGCTTGTCACAGGCAGTCATTAGGTGTGATGAGGTGGTGGTGTTTGAAGCTTTGTCTATATATACAGGTGTCTGCCTGACTGATCTTGAACTGCAGTCTTGAAAACCATTTCTTCTCCAGCTACTGTTTCTTATCTGGGGGGGTTTATAACTTGACATCACTCTCATTAGATTTGTTAAATGGGCCCTTAAAATCATGGTTTCTAGGGAAGGACATTTGGACCACAGTCATCTTGGCCTCCTGTGCTGGACAAAATCCTAGATGCTGGTACTTGGAAAGCACTCCTAGAAGCAGAAGATGGACTACTGCCAATCCTTTCTCTCACCTGGAGACATAACAACTGACTTCACCCCTAGACTACCAGACAAACTCCGAGCATTCCTGGGAACAGTCTGCCTTTTGGGTGGCTAAAAGATGACCTCATGCAACCCCCAGATTTTTGCTTTCCATGCATGAGGAAGAATTATTCTTTTCTAAAGATAGGGGATGCAGCCTTTTCTTAATCACCTCTAATATTGGAGGACTTCCAGGTTCATTGTCCTCATGGGCTCTTGCTGCTTTTGAGCTGGGAGAGGGCTGCTACATGTCTTTATAGTCATGATCACTTGTGTTTTATCTGCCTTTGACTACTGCTTCTTGGGAAATGCCAGATGGTTGTGCTTCAGAACAGGTCTTCTCCTTGTTTAATTGATGCCTGTGGAGTCATCACTGGAATGATGCACAGGCCTCTTTTAACATTAGTCATTTGCCATCAGGCATTCTGAAGGATTGTTTTGTCAAGTGGTACAGCAGATAGGTCGTGTGTGTTTGCAAACAGAATGGCATCTTAAGCAGGCCCTAAGTGGCTCTATCATTCAGGGCATGTCCAAAGTAGGTTGAGGCTTCCTCCTTCCCTTTGTACTTGGGACAATTCAGACCACAGCAGCAGCTCTGCCTGTGGCTTGGCAGTGCACCTGACTCCAGGACTCCGGGAAGGAGCCGGGCATTTGATCTGCAAGCTATAGATAATCTCACAGTAACTAGAGTTACCAGGGATTGCTAACAGCCGGGACCTGCTGTGGTGACTGGAAATTTAATGATTAGCCATGATGTAGGACACAGGAATGTATTCACTTTGCTTAGGAAAGTCTGGTCCTCTAAGCAAAAACAAAAACAAAGGCCTTGACTCTTCAAAAGATGCTGAATTCACTACTGTGAATGCCCTTTCCCAGCAGTGGAAGTATACTAGTATGTATGTATGTATGTATGTATGTATGTATGTATATATAAGCTCAAGCAGAAAAGTCACATATTAAGTGCAAGCCACCCCTTTCACACTCCTGCCCCATCAGTAGTTTCCTTTCCCCTACCTCATGCTTAATATTTCCTGGCTAAATGCTAGCTGTTAAGTTCTGCCAAGCCTTGCTAGGAAATACAGAAGGCATTCAGGAAGTGGAGGCTACCATCTTCCTCCCCCTCCCTCTCTTCCTCTTCCCCCTCATCATCATCATCATTGTAGCTATTATTTCCTGAGCACTACCATGCAGTACCTACATTAGCTCAAATCCTTTCACCTCCGAGATAGGTATTAATATCCTCATTTTGGAAATAAGGAAATTATTGTTCAGTGAGGTTAAGTAATTTTCTCAAATAGTAAATAGCAGAACTAATACCTAAACCTCTGTGTAGCTAGCTCCAAAACCCATGCACTGTCCTTGTGCCCTTAAGGGGACCTTGGGAAGTGCAGAGCAGCAGTGTATAAAGGGGTGGGGGGTAATTTCTAATTGAAACCCAGTTTTCACAGATCATCCTCTGCAGCAAATGAAAGAATTTTTCAAACTAAGTAGGTGTGTGTGTGTTTTAATTTTCTACATCTTTTTAGATTTATTGGGGTGACATTGGTTAATGAAATTATGTAGGTTTCAGGTGTACAATTCTATAATACATCATCTGCGCCCTGTATTGTGTGTTTACAATGGCAAGCCAAGTTTCCTTCCATCATCACCATTTATCCCCGCTATGCCTTCTTCTACCTGCCTCCATCCCCCAAAACTAAGTGGTTTTTATCTAACTGATTATGAATCATTGTGAAGAGATAAATTGATACATATATATGTGTACATGTTATATATCTGAGTAATACAGGGGTGAACAAAAATAAATTTACAGTTGAGAGTGTGTGAAACACAGAGTTTATTCTTGTACTATTTATTGTATTATCTATATGTATTATAACTGTAAACCTACTTTTGCCCACCCCTGTATATACATATACATTTCCTTATTTACAACTGGAATAGTAGATTGAATTTTAGAATTGGAACCCAGTAAGTTTCAAACTTAGTACCTAGACCTATTTTATGTGTGCGTGCACATACACAAGTATATGCTAGCATGTGCTGACCTAGAACATCTGTAAGATAGTGTCTGATCTATCAGGATGGGGAGGGGGCATCAGTGACATGGGAATGGGCAGGGA